CCTTTATATAAAACTCTCTCTTATACAGAAGAGTCTCTGTGGATTTGTTTCTCTAAAATACCCAGACTAACACACACCAGTAGCAGAAGCTAAAATGGGAATGCTGACTGTAAAGAACAGAGATGCTGCGCTGATTTTCCAGTACCACATCCATGATTCAAACATTTGTAAATACAGGCCGTACTCACAGCTCTATCCTTAGTGCACACATTTAAAAGTTAAATCTCAGCTAAATGTCCTGGTTATTTGACGCAATAAAAGCTTAATATCTATTTAAATAACTATGACTCTTAGACCCTGGAACAAAATTAATCTGCCTAGAAATCAGGTCTCAGGGATGTATATGTACCCAGGCACACACACACTGGGAAAAGAAGGAAAAGAAACTGGACCAAACTCCAGAGGATCCCACAGAAGGGAACTCTGGTGACACAGTGTGCTAATTGGTGGACTGCTAACCCAAAGGTTGGGTATTCGACCCCACCAGTCACTCTGTAAGAGAAAGCTGAATCAATATGTTTCAATAAAAATTTATAGCCACAAAAATATATGGACCAGTTTTACTGTATCCTACAGGTGTCTATGAGACAGAATCTATTCTACAGAGATGTATTATAGATTTGGAGAATAGCCCAGGACATTTTGACCTAGTATGCATATTTTTGAGACGTAGTTTGAGAACAAATTCTTTAACGTCAATGACCTGTGTGACACTACGTATGTTGAGTAATAATAATACATATAATAATACTTATATTATTATTCTCCTGGTTTCTTCCATCCTCCTACCCATCTTCCTCCTCGGCCTAGCATCCTTCCTCCAGAGTGGATTCATCTAGCTAACAAGATAAGAAAAGCTTTCTGAGTTTGTAAAACAGAGACCTTGAGTTTCAAGAGACATAATTTATTGCACTTCAAAGGCCTTCAACTGGAAGGACTCTGGGTATAAGCCCTAAAGAACAGATGGTGAGGATTGCCTGATGGCAAGCCTCATTCTCCACTGCAAATAAGATACAGATCTTCCCACCTAAAGGGGAGTATAGCAAAGAGAAGTGAGATGGCTGGATATTTGTCCCTATCCCCAAGAAAAGGATACAGTGTAGCACTGCCCCCACCCTCTACCCGCTCCACTATACTTCAGTGGGGAAGTAGAAAATCTCTTTTGGCTTGAGAATTTGAAAGGCGAGAATTGCCATCTATGCCAGGCCCCAGGAAAGCCGTCATGCCACAGAGCAAGGTGTGGAGACTGCAAATTAAGAAAGTGTCCATCGTTGAGGCAGCTGTCCCGGAGTCAGCCTTCAGCAGCTCCTTTCTGCATGAACAAGAGGATCCTGGCAAATGGAGAAGAAACCACTGACCTGGAAACCACACACGTCTTCCTCTCGCAGGAGCTGAAGTGTCACAGTCGTGCCCACAGAGCTCTGCTCAAAGCAAATCTATTCCTGCTAGTTTTCAAGTTCCTTACTGGCTTTTCAGCTTTATCCAGAACCTGATGCTCAGTTTTACTGTCACTAAATATGAGTGCTTCAACAAGTTTATGCAAAAATTCCACTATCATTCATTGTATTTTTCTATGAATTGTTGAAGCCCCTCATATTTGAAATACTGATAAATTGTTTTGACTTCTGTTCATTTCTCAAATCTCTGAGTCTTGCTTAGAATCAAGAAAACCATGATGATATCAGTTTCTGACCTTACCTTCCGATACTTACTTTAGCCTCTACCTGCACCATATGTGGATTCCTATTTACTCTTATTTCTCGTCCAGCTCTCCCCTAGCTCCTAGCCAAATCTAATTGGTGACAGCAATTGGTGACAGCAACTGGAAAAAAAAACGGTGCCAGTTCCTTTAGATCATGGTTCTCAACCTTCCTAATTCCATAACCCTTTAATATACTTCCTCATGTTGTCATGACCCCCAACCATAAAATTATTTCCGTTGCTACTTCATAACTGTAATTTTGCTACTGTTATGAATCGCGAGACCCCAGTGAAGTGGTTGTTCGACCCCCAAAGGGCTCATGACCCACAGGTTGAGAACTGCTGCCTTAGATACTAGCATGCTCCTTGTTAGTAGAACTTGAGCAAGAGCTCTCAATCTCCTTGTTGGTCTAAGTCAGAGCTTCTCACCCAAGAACAACATTCCTGGCCCTCCTTTCAGAACCCAGGTCACATAGAATTCTTCTTTCACCACACTCATGCTCCTGTCACTTGCCAGGTGACCTGGTCCCAAGGCTAGGAGCAGTCCCAATCCCACCCTATGGTTTGACCTCCTGCCAAGTAGGAACACTTGCTGGGCCCCTTGATCACTCCCTAGCTATCTGGTCTAGATCACTGACCAAATCATTCAACTGCAGCCAGGCCTGCCCAACATAATGGACAAAATTCATATTGGATCCTAGAAAATAAGGCTCAGCCATACAACACCTTGAGATCACTATGCTATGTTTTAATAGGCCTCATCCATGCTGACCTATCTACTTTGAAAGACTCACTATTTGGTAAACTCCTACTTATGTTATATAGAGTAGAAATGTTTCATCTCTGGGATGTCATCCTTGCTACTAACAACTGCAGAGCTGGTCACTTCTATCCTTTAATCATCACCTCATTTTACACCTAAATCTCATATCTCTTTATGTAGTATAATTGAATGTAAAATTTTGACAAATTAAAAGGAAAATGCCTGCTCAAATGAGCTGTGCAGCTACCTGAGGATGATGCAGTCATCTGTCTAAGCCTCACTGATTCATGGGGATGAATCAGCATTGAACTCCAGTGTGGTGGAGACCAAGGCCCTTGACACAAGTCTACTTTTGTCAGCTATTCTCATAGTATTCATCCCCACATTCCCTCTAAATCCAAGGGTCAAACACAGGACTCTTCTTTATGGCACAAAGAAGCTCTGATGAGTGAGTATATCCATATATATATATAAGAGAAGAACATATATATTCTGCAACATTCTAGCACCATGTCTTCAGACCTGGGCAGCAATGCTGGAACCTCCCACTGCCTGAAATAGAGAGGGTGTTTTGGTAGATACATAATTTCATGTCAACTTGATAAATAAGTTTATGAGTGGAGTCTAGCCTCTCATTCAGGTCACAGTCTGATGATGCCTCCTTGTGGTCATGGCCTTGTCATGAAGATTCTAGGAACTTCCTCTCTTTTTCCCCGGAGGTGGGCTACACTTTTTCTGCTTCACCTTCCTGTTGAGGAGCCACACTCAGAGAGCTGGAGAAACCACATGGAGACGGTGCCCATGATGAGATGCTTCCACCACCAGTGGATCCACAAGACTTTTCACCCACCAGCCTGTGATCTTCCTGCATTCGGCATCATTGCATGCGCTGTGTAAACCTGAACAGGAATTTATGGACTAGTATCGGACACGTGGGCCAATATTGGACTAATGGACTGGGTCTGGAGTGGGCTGGGATATTTTCTCAATATAAAATTGCTCTTTGATATAAAGCTCTTTCTTACACATATATGAGTCTCCATAAATTTGTTTCTCTAGACAACCCGGTCTGACACAGGTGCCAAGGAGCAGATGTATAAACCTCAGCTTCTGTAGGACAAATCTTTCAGTCTGCAAGGCCATTCTGGTATTCTGGGTCATTTCAC